TCTTCTGTTGCTCTAACTACTACAAATGGGTGGTACGTAACCATGACAGCTCATTATATCAAAGCAGAGTGCGATATAATGAGCGGTGTGTATTATTGTGGGGCCTACCTGACAATATAAAGTGCCTTGAGGCGACTGTTGTTGTGATTTGGTCCTTTATAAATAAAATTGAATTGAATTGAATTGAGTGGTAGATACAAAGATACAAAGCCCTGTTGTCCTATATTGTACCATTTTTTTTTTATATAATTGCGTGGAATGAGTCTTGACTTGAATGTTTTTAACAGGCAAAAAATACTTCAATAAGTAAATGTTACATTTTTGTCTTTTTTCTTTTTCTGCTGATCCGAAAATCGATCCGATCAGTGACTTAAAACCGTGATCATGAGATTTTTGATCTGTTGCACCACTAATATATATACATGAAGGGCTTCTCTCATTTGGAGTTCAGTATATCAAGTTTAAGTTCTGAATATTTTCTCTACTGCGTTGCTAGATAAAGGTCTTTGAAAGACTCATCACACAAAATCCCAACAATCAACAATCTTTGGAATTTAAAAGCAAAAACAGCTCTAAGCTCGACTTCCTGAAGACGGGACTTGTTTGGAAGCTTTTAGTCTGTACTGTGTACACAGTTACTCTGGTAACAAACAGAACGTGCAGAAATACCTTCGTGTAAACCCATTAATATGAATTAACAGCTGTTTTCTGCTATTTTTGTTTTTATTTAAAACCGTCATAAGGGTGAACTTTTGTCCTCTACATGGCAAGAATCGCCATAATTTTAATCGCCATTTTTTTCTGTTGTTGCTGAGAAGCTCATATACCATAAAAACTCAAAGACGTAGCAAGCTACCTGCAGTGGTGGCCGGCTGTGAATGAGGGAGCCTTTTAGCATTGAGTGACCTGCACAGAGACTTAATGAGAAACATCCAAACCTGAAGCAGTGCTCAACGTTTGGCTCCAGTGCAACAGACATCAAGGGGATGTTTCTTTTGTTTGGTGGGTGTGTCAGAGGCGTTAGCTTGTTAGCTGAGGCATACAGACAAACTCTGCTGTATTAACACAGATTGCACACAGCTGAGCTGCCATTGTAGTGAATTCAACTATGGGCTAACCTCCAGGGCTGGAAAATGAAGGCATAACTAAAGTGCCTAAAATCTCCAAATTTACAGGACAAATAAAAGTGTTTATAGCATAAAAACACTTTTATAGCATGCTAAAAACACTTTGATAGCATGCTAAAAACACTTTGATAGCATGCTAAAAACACTTCATCACCGTCATAAAAATTGACATGTGTGTCAACAAAGACACGTGTAGTTGATTGCTGTTTTAGATGTTCCCTTTATTGCTTTGAGTCATTAAAGTGAAACTTTCTGCTGTGTTGGAACATTTAAAGTGGATGCAGCGTGCTAACCAAACTACCTAGCATAAACTGATACTTTAGCCAAATATAGTCACTTCTGGATATTTCTAAACTGCTAATGCTTCTAATGCAAGACTGTTGAAATTAATGCAGACATTTGGGATTCAAACATCGATATTCATCATCAGATCTTCTTTCAAACACATGGTAAATGGCCTGTATTTGTATAGCGCTTTTACTAGTCCCCCCTAGGGACCCCCAAATCGCTTTACACACCCAGTCATCCACCCATTCACACACTGGTGGAGGCAGTTGTAGCCACAGCTGCCCTGGGGCAGACTGACAGAAGCGAGGCTGCCATATCGCGCAATCGGCCCTTCTGGCCAACACCAGTAGGCAGTAGGTGAAGTGTCTTGCCCAAGGACACAACGACCGAGACTGTCCGAGCCGGGGCTCAAACCGGCAACCTTCCGATTACAAGGCGACCTCCCAACTCTTGAGCCACGATCGCCTATCCATACATGGAGTGTAAACTAATTTCTTAACATTTGTGATGTGTGTATTTCAGCTCTTACACTTTGCTTGACTCTCAGCTGGTTGTTTTAGACACCAGGGATGCTGCTGACTGCCCTCTGGTGGGCAAAATATGCAGCAACAACACTCACAACAGGCTGAAGGGTGTCTCTCTTTTATTTTGAAATTTGTATTTATCGTCTATTTTAAATGCCAATGCCTATGTTATTGAAAAATTGCTAATTTGTTGATCATTATAAATTTAACACACTTTTTTTTGTATATTTAATGTGTACTATATAAGTGCAAAGAAAATAGATGTAGAGGAGAAGCTTTTTTTTTTTTTACCCAAGATCTTTCACTTTTTCCCGTTTTTAGTGATAAATTAAAGCACAAGTGCACTAAATCCTTTGACATTCAGCTGGACTCTCGATATTGATGCCCAGATGTGTTTGCTTTGATAATACTGACTCTTACCCTCATGCCTTCAAATCTGGAGAGGGCTCTGAGGGGCCGCAGGGCTCGCAGCGTCCGCAGGGATTTGATGGCTGCTAAGTCTGAATAACCCAATGTGTTGGCTACCAAACTGACCAATGAGACCTGGAGGAGAGAGAGAGAGAGGACAGAAAAAGACAGGGACAGGAATATAGAGACAGAAGAAGGAGGAAGGGAAAGAAAAGAGAAGCAGGACAGTTAACGTCTATTCTAATGAAGGGAAAGTGAGAGAAAGTTCTGATCCAGGAGACGAAGCTGCATAATGATGCCTGAAAAAGGAAGGGTGATGGTTTGTGATCACTGAGCTCATGACGAAGGACTCACTGCTACAATTTTTTATCATTGTTGAAACCTTTCTCAGGTGAAGCTGCAAGCAGACAAGGAAATGGTTATTTTACACTCTTCTAGGAAGCCAGCACAAAAAACCGGAGAAATGAGAAAGAATAAATGTGTTTATTGATTGGTCAAGTGAGTCCTGAGTGATCCATGGCGTTTAAAACGAGACAATAAAGCAGACTGTTGATAAAGCAGACCACTGAGTGCTCTTAGAGACTGATGTGCAGATCACTGAACGACTGCTTTAAACAGCTTCAGGGTTTATGTTTAGCTGTAAGAGGGATGGTTAGGTGTTAAACATGCTACCTGTATCCACAACAGCCTGAGATATCACCTCTGATTAAAGCCAGGATGGCATCACCTCCCAATCAAACCCAGAAACATTTAAAGCCACGACACAGACGATTTCCAGCACCGAGCAGCAGGTCTCAGGTCGGTCGAGCTGCAGGTGAACGCAGCTCATTCTTACCCTGATACCAGCGAAGCGGGACACAGCCCGGAGAGGACGGAGAGCTCTTAATGTCCTCAGCACACGCATGGTGGTGATGTGGTCCACTGAGATGTACTGAGCCATCAGACCCAACACTGAGATCTACAGGGTTCGGTTACACAGTAAACAACAACATTTCTGCACATAAATACAAAGTAGCTTCAGACTGTGCAAAGAACAAAAACATGATCGAAATAAAGGG